GCGCCAAGCACTCGCGTCATGCTATTTAGAACACTGCACCTATCTAACTACAATAAGAACATAAAAGAAAGAAATATTTATCGGTTGGAATGAACTACGAAAAAACCATTAAACTTTAAAAAATAAAAAATTGTAAGGATTTTCTTTCTTTGCATGGCAACAATTGTTCATATTAACCACCATCTATCATTGTGTAATACTCTCATGTTTGTACATGTTGCGGATGGAGGTATTCTAGCCTGCTTGATCATTGTAGCAAACATGTACAATCTTATGTCTGTTCTATTCATAAGCAAGTTCTCATTTGGCTCTTCAATATGAATACTAGACGAAATGGAGCAGCGGAGAAGTACCAAATATATAGTTCGATGATCCAAGAATAGCTTTCAATTTCATCAACAAACTTTTGCCTTCTCAAGTCAATCTTACGGCGTGTGTGTGTGTGTGTAATAGTAATTCGAATGAAACAACAAATACCCTTGACGTCAAAGCTTGTATGACTTCCTTGGCTGCTTTACTCTTGGCAGCTTCCTCTTTTGCAAGTGACCAAGCTTCCTCAGTCTTCTGTCGATTTTCTTTAATTTTCTCCTTTCTTATCCGGTATAGCTTTTGTAGATTTTCAGCCTATTGATAGTGAATAAAATTCAGTATTAGAAATTTTTTAAAGAGCTTTCCTGGTTAAATATGGCATCAAGGAGTAGTTGAACGACGTCAGAAAAAAAAATTATATATATATGCTATAAGTGAAGTATAATATATAACACTGCAGTTATTCTATATAAGAAGCTTGTTAACATCATTTCAATTGTATAAAATGTTGAGAAATACAGCACCACCAACTTTGTGAAGATAAATAAGAAAATGGCGACATCAGTGGACCTGTAGCATCCTTCATTATCGAAGAATACAAAGCGAATTAAGTCTGCATTTTATTTATTAACCATGCATGAGTTCTTAGTAGACCTACAACTATGATGCACGGGCACTCCTACTGGTGCACGTGTCCATGTTTGACACGCGCTGCGTCAGGTCGGTCACCAATGCTTTTCGGACACTCCAAGACACATACTGTATATATATTTTCCTTCACTGGCAGCTTTATACATAGTTTAACTTAAAGTTATTTTAATATAACAAATAACTACTCATTCGATTTAAAAGATTTAACGGCCAAAAATCGAAACTAAGAAAAGAATTGACTTTATTAAAAAAAAAAAAANGCTGGTTTTCGTCCCACCATCTCTTTGCTTCGTTTTCAGCGAACTTTTTCCGGCTGCAAATACAACATCATGAAGGACATGGAGCATTAAGAAAAAGATAAAAAGAAAAAAGAGAACACAGAATTTTTGTGTGGGTTATGGAATGACCTACATTGCAATCTTTAAAAATCATAAGCTACAATCAAGTTGTTTGTAATATCATTTTAAGAATGTAAATAGTTCATCTTTTATGAGGGAACACATACAGGTTTGCGAAAAAGTTTTAACTATAGTTACAGATGACAGTATATTTCCTCGATAAAGATTTTCTAGGAAAGTGATTATTTATTTTTCCGTATAAAATTGTGCCAAGATATTTCTATTTGACAAGGGCAATTGCAAATGAAGTTTGTGGTTCAATCATCCTAAGATTTTGAAAAACCAAGGAGCCATTATTTTGCATGTTGGGAATGTAGTATGCATCTGAATAATTTCAAATTATCAACAGGAATGCATAACCCTTGAAATGTAAAATAGCTACATTCTTATATGAAGTTATTCTGTTATATATTTCAATTTCAATTTCACTTTTACTAATCAATAAGTGTTTACTCGTATGTGATGATTATATTCTTATAGTTGCTTGTCACATCAATTTCTTTTAAGACATTCATGAAATAATAAAATGCAGTCAAATGTGATATTTGGGTGATAGTTTATTACCTGAACCTGACTCTTTTGAGGCCTGTTTGTCCATTTGGCAAAGTCACAAATGTGATGTAGACACCAGGTTGATATTGTTCTACCCATTCAACCTTCAGGGGTTCGACTCCAGTTTTTTCAGAATCTCTTCCAGCACAAGATTCTCTTAGTGATCGAATTCCATCATGGGAATCTCCATTACATAAATATCTTAATTTGTTTGAGAAGACAATAGGTGAACTAGAAAGAGACTCGAAATGTTTATCTTCTGGTTGCTCAACCTCATGGGGCATGCAAGCAAGAACAGCAATAGGTAGATCTTCTTCAACTCTTGCAGAAGAAAACTTCTCGGACATTGCAAGAATCTGGAATGAATGTATATATCACAGATCACTTAACAGACAGTAGTAACATATTTGTTTCACATAATCTATCAAATTTTTCATAATGCTGTCCTCGTTTTTGAATAGATAAATAAAAATGCTAAAAAACTAAAACATTTTGAAGTCATAATCCACACAACCTACACGTAAAGAAGTTAGAAAGAAGAGCTAAAAGAGGCAGATGTCAGGTACATTGCTAGAGAGAGTCGATCCAAAATTCAACCAAAAAACCATCTATTTCAACAGCCATTAGGAGTCAAAGTTTTTTCATGTTCTATTCTTTATTTCTTTTTGTCTTTTCGGCTCAAACTTGATACCTTCGTCTCTCATATCTGAACACAACATGGAAAAACTTAACTAGAAAATATCACTATTGTTCAATACATGGCCAACACAATTGTGCCAGTACCTAGATGCAGAAGCCACATTATTATTCCTTAGTTTCTTAATCAGTCAATGGCTTGTGAATTCATGAAGAATGACTTCGATCAGATAGATAATTATTTTCTAGAACTATTTTTGGCAAGCAAAACATTGCTTTAATATAACCCAACAAATGGGATATGTAATGGGTTGGAAAGTCAATAGGGAATGAAATCTTGGGAAAATTTTAGTATAACAAAGCCGATAGCAAAGAAAATAAGATTATATGCTGCTACACCTATCCAGTGTTCTAAATAGCATAATG